CAGCCGAACTAGCAATCCTCAACAACTTTTTAAAGAATCAGCCGAACTAGCAATCCTCAACAACTTTTTAATTTTTACACCAGGAGCCAAAATTCTGTTTCAGGAAGCCACATCCCCAGCAATGGTGGTTGTAGAATTAAGTTGTAAAAGAGTTATTGCACCACTAGTTGGCAGTGTTGTACAAATATTGTACATGAATTGTCAGCTAGTAAATGTTAAATTGAACTATCGCTTTAAAATTAGCTTCCGCTAGTTTTTCTATGGCATATGCGGTTTTGAAGTCGTGGACCTAAATATTTTTATAAGTGCTTTAGAAATTGCGGAGACAATTTTTGGATTAGCGTTGCCCACCACTGATCGTATCATTTAGAACTGTTAATAAACCATAGGCGGAGACTATACTGTATAATAATCAAACATTTACCTTGTTTAAAAGGGACACCATGATTCTGTATGAAACGTCCTCCTTCATTTTAACATATGCATAGATGACATCTCTGATGAGCAGGTAGATAAAGAAGAGGATAGTTAGGACCAAAGCTACACGAAGAGGCAGCCTCCACTCTGGGAACAGCTTCAGGGGGAAGTCCTCCAGCTCTCTGGCTGCTGACAGAGACCCTTTATCCAGAACAGTGAGGCCCAGTTTGGTTGCCATCTGTGCGACTGCCTGCTTTGCTTCTGCACTGTTTCCACACAGGAACACCTGCACAAAACGTTTTTTGCTATTTAAAATGAAAAAAAAAATGGTGCAGCTGAAGTATTTAATAATTGCTATCACCAGAAATATCATACCAAACCAAAATGACAACTGTTTTCTGATTCTTGTTTTCATTCTGAACAATTTTACAGTTAAGTCAAAAATGCTTTTTAAAATGTATTTTTAATGTTGAACAGTTTTCCAAAGATTAATCAAAACATGTTTGCAAACCTTTCATTTTCTACTTAATGTGAAAAGTAAAATATGGTAACATGAATTTCCCCGGAAGGGTTATATCGGTAAATGTCTTTCTTGTTGTAGATATGTCTTTGAATAACCTGATTTACAAAACAATGACTAACGAGAGAATGACTAGTCTGAGCAGGGCCAAGATAACACTGGATTGTTACAGTCTGAAAACAAGTGCAACCTTGGTAAATTTCACCTGCATGATATTTAAATAAATCCTTATACTGCCAAATATGTTGCATTACATGATTATTTTCATAGAATTATGTGTAGTGGTGTCCCAATACCAGCATTTTTTACCTAAGGGAGGAGAGCCACCTCACTGAAATTTAAAAAAATGTGTTTTTAAAGTCGTGTAAGGTTTAGGTTATAACCCAGTAAACACTCTGTGTTGGTCCACAGAATCAGTGAGTACCTAAGGCCTGAGTCACACTACAAGAAAATCAGGCCGATTTTTGCCCTTCCAACAATCTTAAGGAAGTCCAGATTATGGTGATGGCTCTAAAGATAATCATAGCCGATATTCCCACCGTGGGTGGTGAGTTAAGAGTGATCTATTCGGCTCGGAAGAATGCCGGGACCGCTCCAACCTCAAAATCGGGGATATTCAACATGTTTGATTTTTTTGGCCCGATATCACAGTGTGTGTGGTGTTCAACCGAGCTCTCAGCTTGTGAATGAGACGTGTAGCCAATCAGAAAGCGAGGTGATGTAAACACAGAGGGGATTCCAAAATACAGAAGACAAAAAAA